AGATGAGGTCACATCTAACACAGGGGTTTGCTTTAGCGTTGTATAGATCTACTCTGCATTACAATTCTTTCACAAAATGTCAACAAGATCTTAAACTGTCAAAGGTGGTTTCACTGTCCTTCAATAAAAGATATCCTTAACTCATATGGCACGATCGAAGTTTATTTTGCAAGTTCAACCCATAAATGCAGCGTTACTGTTCTACATATTGTAGAAAGTACTGCGTCTTCGCTGAAATTGGTTTATACCTGGTACACAAGAGCAACCATGGTCAGATGTCCTTTTTTTCCAATTTTTAAAAATATGTCCTTAAATAGATATACAGGTATATCTAAGTGAATACGTTAATAGGCGTACTGTGTAGTCATTGTCATGATCTGCTCAGTAAGTCAGTTTAAGATGCTTTCTCAGATGCATGGATTATATATAACATGCAGATGAGAAGCGTCTTAATACATATATATATATATAGGTTAATAATTTTGATGATAAATTTAGATGACTATGCAAGCAAACGACCGTGGCCTAGCTTAAGGTGCTGTCACAGCATCTACTTGGAAGGACTAAGCATATTACGATTATCAAACAAGATAGATGACCGTTGGGTCAAGAATCGAAGCAAGGACCTCCAAAATAAAAATCAGGGCTTTGAGCAGGTCGAATAGAAAGGAAAGTAATGTACGCAAATTTAAATAAACTTCTACGCCATCAAAGCTGAGAATACATGTCTTATAGCTGAGTTTGGTTGATATTCATGAAGAAGGTCCAATATGTGAAACGACTCGGCCAGTCGAAATGCAATCACACCTATGTTTATTTTCATGAACATAAAATATTCATTGCTGCGTTAGCGATACAACAGCCATCTATGAGTAGAAATCGGTAGTGATGCCGCAAATAGCTACCATCTCGCGGCGGAAACTGAAACCACATGGTGTAGTTGAGGAAATTGAATGGATGTGAAGTAGGTCAAGTCTCGCCGTTATGCACAACAGAAAACGTGGGTAAAATTAAGTTTCATTTCTTTATGTAGAAAAGTTTTCAAGCTTCCTTTCTGAATGTATGTTGCAACCATTGTCATTTTCTTATACGTATATGAACTCTTCAGAATGTCATTCTTCTTCTCTTAATCAGAACTTCCGGTATGTTTTGTCTTAGTGCTGTCGATATTGGTCTCACTGTAGCAGTCACCTAAATCAGGCGGGCTTTAATAAACATGGAAAGGGGAACGCTATCAATTTTCGTTCATAAACTCACTACGTAGTTCAATGGTTATCTATAGTAATCTCATTATATCTGGCAGGGGAGCTTTCACAACACTTCGCTTATACACTCAGTCAGGGGGAAAGAGTTTGATAATAAAACGAGAACCTACAACTTATAATAAAAGAAATTTGATCTTAGCAGTGTCGGATTGAAGGCACTGAAACTTCCTTCAGCGCCGAAGCTACAGCAATATCTTCAACAGATTTTCAGTAATATGAAAGTTTCCGTATAACGGTGAAGCTTACTAGAGTGTGTTTTTTGTGAACAGATTTTCGAGGTGGATATTTGGATCAAAGTAACAGAAACAGAAAGGAGAACTGGGAATATTTTGTAACGCGGGGCTTCATATTGTGACGTCACTCGCGAGACCGCAGAGTTCACACTCTTCAGCTAATATTGTTAGGTTAATTGAATCAAGGACTATGAGATGGGGACAGTTTTAAGGTCTAGCTGTGTACAAGATGGTAATAGAATTTGTTTAAAAGATATTTGAGGATGAATCATACTTTAAGTAGGCAACTTTACGGAAAAAGAGTCCTGCGTGTTTAATGAATTCTCCACCGTGAAAACAGCGGCTGATATATCTCTGATTGTGACGTGGCGGTGGTAAGTCCTCAGGTATGTATTTATGTTTTAAAGAGAAATAGGTCGAGAGGTGAGGGCTGAATTCAGCTGGCTCACAATGGAGGCAGATGAGCCTCTGTGAACGTGGTGCTGAATCTTCGTGAGTGCCCGATAAATGTTCGCTGTGCTATTATATAATGAGATGATGGATGAGCAGATACGCAGATAGATGGACGCATCGATATGTAGGCAAGGAATGCAACACGATGTGCAGGAAAGGTGAAATAGGAGTTAGGACGTGACATAAGTGGGATTTATGGCGAATAAAATGACACTTCTGCAGGTTTCCTCTGAAAACCTCGATTTTTCACCTGCCAGAGCTCGTTCCCTGCAAGATCCACTCTCATCTGTCTCTCTTTCCTCTGAGGTGTGTGATATCTTCTGTTGGCCACCGCGTTATCATATTCTTGGCGTTTCATCTCACAGCTAGAGAATTCCAATAAGCTGAACCCTTCATGAAAAGCCGCCGGTTTTGCAGCTACTCAAGAATTTCCCCAACATTTTGTAGAACCCGAAGGTTAATTACTGTGCACACAAGATCCCTCCATTGGTCCCTATCCTGTCACTAAGAACCGCTTTAATATTATCCATCCACCTGCTTCTTGGTCTTCCTAGAAGTCTCTTTCCTTCTGGCTTTCACACCAATATCCTAATATGCATCCGTACTACTACCCATCTCATTCTCCATGACTTGATCATTCTAATTACACTTTAGTTCTAGTGTTTGCCTTAATTCACAGCAAAGGAAGTAGCTAGGTGATTACCGTAAGCCAGTCCCACTGTTTAATTATTGGATGTTGTCAATTATGTGTTTATTGTTAAGTAATTATAGTAATTAAATTATTAACATCAGATTACCTCAGTATGTAACATACACGTGTACATACAAGAAAGTACTATAAAATTTGGAGAACGCCCAGGCTAAGAAAAGATTGACCGCAGGTTATTTAATGACGTGGCATCAATGCAAAAGATATTTGGCGATGAGACATGTCGGTGAACTGGAAGGGACCGATAAAGAAGTGGCTGTGACCTACCCATTCGTAGCGACCAAACCAAAGCACAAAACTTACCACCATGGTTATCTGTATCCTGCTGGAAGTTCGAACTGGCTATTCTCTGTAAGGTTTGAGGTTTTCACGGCGGTAACTGTGAAGAATGCCATCTTCTGGGATGTAGCTCCATGTAGATCTTGTGTGAACCGACGTTTCGGTCTATGAATGCATGTCAGAAGAGTTATCACTTAAACTGATTTGCTCGGTTTCAACATGACAGTAGGGGTATGCGGTAGCGTAGTTGGTTGAGACACTATGCTGCAAGCCAGAAGGTAGCTGGTTCAAGTCCCGATGAGGTCATTGGATTTTGGCCGCACCATAGCTCAAGCGGTTAGTCGCTGGCTTCCCACCGCGGCGGCCCGGGTTCGATCCCGTGTCTGGTCACTTTTTTATATCAAGTAGCTGATAATCATGAAGCAGGCTAAGAAATTTCCAGTTGTTACGCAGCTCGAGCCTACATGGTGGTGGTCATAAAAGTCCGCCATTGGACCATATCTTGTCAGTTCAATCCAGTTAAATACTAAGAACATATTTTTTGTAATATATTATAATCTAAATTCCGTTTTATTATTATCTCCTCATCTAGGTACGTCAGTCATACTGTCATGTTATTGCTAGTGGGGTGGGACTAAGTGCCTTGTACTGCGGCCACTTCTGGCCTATTGTACCGGCCCCAGATGATAGGTGAGGGTGATTGTGGAGCAATTGGTGGAATGAAGATTGGCAGGGGAAACCGAAGTACTCGGAGGAAATCTGCCCCAGCGCCACTCTGTCCACCACAAATCCCACTTGACCAGACCAGGGATCGAACCCGGGCCGCCGCTGTGGGAAGTCATAACAATTAATTACGGCATTGCGCTAGTATATTTGTGTTAAGAAAATATTCAGAGTACCGGAAACTTGTCATTAAGAGGTTAATTACAACTTTTAAAATACCGGGGTGAATGTTCAGTAGTGATTGTTGAATGGATAGAATGGGCTTGTTAATGCAGTGTATGCTTATAGCCATGTTCCCAGTTTTTACCACATGAAAAGAAGAACTGTTTGATATAAGTGCGATTGTGCAACCTTTATATGGCTTGCACCATTTCAACCATTATTCATGTTTCTGTGTTGCTTATTTAACTATGATGTCAGTATCGAGACTGCGTAGCGTCAGATAATATGATGATTAATGAATATGGAGTAGATGGTGGAGTGAAAATTGGAAAGAAAAACCGAAGTTTTCGGTGAAAACCCATTCCAGTTCCACGTTAACCACAGAAATCCCACATAGCCTGACCTAGTATCGAACACTGGCCGTCGCGGTGTGGTTCATTATTTAGTGTGACGTAGCATCGGATGTAGACCTACATGTAACGACAACTTGTCATGAGCACTGTCGAAAGAGTCCATTTTACGTACATTCAGTGTATTCTTCTGTGATTAATCGATGTTGCTGATGAATGAGAAACACTGGACTACAATAACTAGTTCCAACTTCCGTTGAATATTTCTTTCGTTAAAGAACAAGACATTATGCATTCATTTCTGTTAGTTTATTGTATATTTGTTAATTTTCTACTAATGTTTATGCGCTGTGTTTTGTTTGAACGAGTTTATGTATGTTATTTGTCTGTTGTCTTATTGTAGTACTACTGTCACCGGATGAAAACCCATTTGCAGTTAAATAATAATAAGAAAGTAATACAGATTCAGCCGAGATGAAGCTGGAAGAAAATAACATTCAGTAACTTGGCATTTCAGTTGCAGAATGTGATACGACCTTAAATATATTGTTCAGAATAATTAAACAAAATAAGGCTTGATAGATACTCGTATTTTACAGAACTTCTTGTACTTCTTTCGTATTATAGGAACATACACGTACAAGAATAATCCATTTTTCTTGTGTATAATTGCAACAGCGTTCTCTCATTATAGCACCCCTCGCCTCTACCTCTCCTCAGACTTCCCTCTGTCAACAATCAGCTGCTCATGTCATGTTCAGAGTCCCCTGGGCGCGGAGAGGAGACAGTAAATTGACGGCGATGTTTACTGGTTCGATGATTGCAGATTCTCGACCAAGGAGTCAGCTACCCACGCCATCGTGGCTGTTCACAACACGGATATCAATGGTCAGACGGTGAAGTGTTCCTGGGGAAAGGAATCCGGAGATCCTAACAACGCCCAGGCTACCGGACAGGTGAGTGAACAGGTGAATGTCATGATTTCTTTCTTACTCTACAGAATGATCCAGAGTAAATTAGCTTAATTCTAGTGAACAGAAATTAACAGCACTTTCATTTGTGGGCCACTACGTCGCAGAATATGAGTGAATGCAGTAGCGATATTCAATGATACCTTTCGTCTTCGCGGGACGGAACGGTGGCGGCCATGATGCTATGCAGTAGATTTTGAGTGCTACGTTCTAATCTGCTGTCTGAGCGCTAAGAGAAAAGTTTATGGCGTGGCTTAGCAGTGCTGCCTCACGTCATATCCGACCCCCACTGGAAATTAGAACACAGAATTTCGAGAGTGTCCCAGCGCCATTCTATGAGTGCGTATTCAATTTATGCAAAGAATGAAGTCCAGCTATATTTTATTGTCTTTTCGGACTACCTTGTAGCTTAGCACAGGGATTTTTTTTCCTTGGCACTACAGCCCCAGTGGGCCTAGGCCTACCTCCATGAACTCCGTTCACTTCGGTTTTTCTAGATCTTACACATTCGGTAGGACTCCTTGGGCGAGTGATCAGCTCGTCTCAAGGCCTCTACCTGTAGACAAACACAGAAAAACGCACACAAACATCCATGCCCTGAGTTGGATTCGAACCCACGATCCCGGCTTCCGAGCGAGCGAAGACAGTGCATGCCTTAGACAGCTCGGCTACCGTGACTGGCGGCACAGGGAATTACTAACCTACATAAATTCATGTCTTGCATCTCTCATCACAATAATGTTTTCTGACACACAAGCTCCAACAAGTACGTGTATTTAGAGTGTTGTCAGCACTGTATACCTGCAGGCTGTACCATAGCTCAGGCGGTTAGTCGCCGGCTTCTCACTGCTGTGATCCGGGTTCGAGCCCAGGTCAAGTCATGTGGGACCTTTGTTGGACCAAGTTGCATTAGTGCAGGTGTCCTCTAATATTTTCAATTTCCCCTGCCGATTCTCATTCATCCAACTGCTTCACACACAATTGCATCGTCAGCCGGAGCAGGTGCCACAGGGAAACTAGCATCCTGTGCACCAAGTGGACTGTCTCACTACCCCCTATCCCCAAGAGTAAAGAAAATGTTACCCCTGTGTGAGGAAGAGATCATTTCTCTCGTGGCACTAGTCTTGAAACTTGTAATATGCTACGGCCACTAACCTTCTCATTTTAAAACTTACTTCTATAATTTTATCGTCAGTCACGGGTGGCAGATCTACACCTACATGTTAGTTAAAAAATGTGTACATAATTTACACTTAAAATATATATCATAGCTTTTATTTGTGATTCATTGCTATTTGCTTTTGAATATTCCCTTTCTGAATATTCTGTTGTTCATTATTCAGTTTATCTGCATTCATTTATCTTGAATTCTGCAGTGAGGTTTAACTTCCTTCCATAGATACAGGTATAATAGTTTTGAGCTCTCTCATCAAACCGTGGCCTGCGCTGCTTTAACCCATGATAACCTATGCTGTCCTTGTAAGATTTGAGGCTTTCACGGCGGTGACTATGAAGAAAGCAGTCTTCTGGGATTTGGCGCCGTGTATATGTGGTGTTAACCGACGTTTCGGAGGAACATATCGCCCCCATCTTCAGGGTTGAAGAAAAAAGTATAGATAAATCTGCAAGCGACAACACCGTTCTTCAACCCTGAAGATGGGGGCGATACGTTCCTCCGAAACGTCGGTTAACACCACATATACACGGCGCCAAATCCCAGAAGACTGCTTTCTTCATATGCTGTCCTTGACTGTAATATAGGGCTACTATAAATGATTCATTCCATTTCAAAACATTATATTTTCCAAAATATTACACATACAAATATGATTGATACATGAAAAGAACCACAAACTCACCATGTTTGCATCATGATACACCAGATGGCAGCATGAGTGCAGTGCGTCACAAAATGGCGACGAAGCTGAAAAAGAGTTTCTGTGTGTTGAAATATGCGGAGATGTTCGTCTGTTATTGCAGTGCAGCGGGCATTCAGGGCAGAGCACAGAAAAGAACCGCCATGTAAACAGAGCATTCTGAGGTGGTATCGGCAGTTTAAGGGTACTGGTTGTGTGTGTAAACGGAAAAGCACGGGGCGACCAATATACTGTTTTGAAATGGAATGAATCATTTGTAGTAACTCTGTATTTTGATACCTTTTGTTCTTGTCTGCACTAACACCCGAGTTTTATAATGCGGCACACTTACTTGAGATACTGAGTTGGTGCTATTTCTCTATCCGGTTCTTGCACTGCTCATTATCTTCCTGATAGCCTCTTTCTGACTGCTTAAATCGCCAAGTAAAAGCCAGTATCGTAATTATCGTAATTCTAAAACGTCGGGTTTTAATCATAATAATAGTAATAAACCGAAATAAGTCAGTGAAGTGAGAGACCGGTTTTCGATTCTCGGCTCCGGCAGGAACTTACCTCATACTGACCACGCCAACATCTCTTCTGGAGGTTTCCTCTTCCGGTTGTGTAGCAGTTCTGTCTCTACTTGTAACGTCTTGTGCATGAATCTCTCCGCTCAGGTCCAGCCGGAGCTTAATCTCTAGGCTCGCAATGATTCCCAGGCATACCTTGAAATAATATCCAGAAATAACTAATTAACTTCATGGAGCTGAGCCCTTCTTGAGAAACCACCAGTTGTGTAGCTACTCAAGAACTTCCCAGCATTTTATTGTTTCCACAGGTTCATCGCTATATCCACAAGAGCCCTCCAATTGACCCTATCCTAACCCAGATCAGTCCAGTCCACACCACGCCATCCTCTTTCTCTAAGACCGTTTTAATATTATCCACACACCTACGTCTTGGTCTTCCCAGTGGTCTCTTTCCTTCTGGCTTTCCCTCCAATATCCTATACGCATTCCTCGCCTCTCCCATTCGTGCTACATTCCCTGTCCATCTCATCCTCTTTGACTTGATCATTCTAAGGAGAAGTGTACTAGTTATGAAGCTCCTCATTGTGCAGTTTTCTCCAACCTCCTGTCACTTCATCTCTCTTCAGTCCAAATATTCTCCTCAGCACCCTGTTCTCAAACATCTTCAATCTGTGTTCCTGACTTAATGTCAGAGACCAATAATAATAATAATAATAATAAATTTGTGACCATTTATTATTCTACTACCAGAATAAAAAGGCATCCTGTTGCTTTCCTTTTCCATATGTCGTGTGGCATATATCGCTTAAAAACTTTTGACTGTTTTTATTTGAATTTAAATTAATCTAAGGAACAAATTTCTCCTGCCATTTGCCAATAATTAAAACTGCTATTCTTCTTTCCAACTATAGAAACATGGAAATAACAAAACTTCTGGCTGGTAACGGAATGAAGTGCTTCGAAGAGGCCATAAATGCTATCGTGAATTTGTAACCATGTCAAAATTCAGCATAAAATTCTAGTGGACATAGAGAACAGATGTCTGTTCTTACATGATTTGAGTACTCATCCAATCGTAAATAGTATACGACAGTTTTTGTTGTTCACTAATGTGTGTATGTTCTCACATTATTTGTTTTTTAAATCTCGCACCCAGCTATTGACAATCTATGCACAATGCATCGCCCGAGTTACAGGAGGAGGAAGTGTACAAGTACATAGTGACGTCACTAGAGTTTAGCTGGAAGTATTGCATGCGGTCTATCACTCTATCAACATAATTCAACCTACTTTTTTCCCCTACAAGCCGGCTGCCTTGCGAGACACTCAGTTTAGCTGATCTCTCGCAGATAGGGAGAATGTTTGGTTTGGTTACTATGGAAACGTTGGTTGATTCGGTTGATTGGCGTGACTATAGATCTCTGCTACACTGACATGGAAAATTTATGGTACTTAGAGCAACAGTAGTCTATTTACCAATTCATTATTTGTCAAATCAAGGCTTTCTTAAATGGTTTCTTACGTAGTAGATTTGCCTTTTTGGTCCTCAAAAGTTATGCGCAGAAACCCAATTCAAACTTCAGAACAGTTTTATAATGCATATAGAACTGTTGGTCAATACTGATACTGTGTTTAGTGTCGCGAGGTGACCATCATGTGACTGGTTTTTTGTTATATACATGTCGTCGACATCATTTTGATATCTGAAGAAAGCCGTCTTGTAGGATGTGGCACCGTGTAGATATTGTGTTAACCGACGTTTCGGAGTATCGTATGGCCTCCATATTCAGGGTAGAAAGAAAAGAAAATCTGCAAGCGAAGAACCAACGTGAGCAGGTGCTGACAGACTAATGTCGAGTCTTATACCCTGAAGAAGGAAGCGACACGTTCCTCCGAAACGTCGGTTAACACAGTATATAATCCCAGAAGACTCCTTTCTTCATAGTCGCCGCAGTGAAGACCTCAGTTCTTACATTCTGATATCTGTTTCTATGTACTTAATAATGAATGTTTAATTATTTAATTATTTTAATTTCTAAATTTATGTACTTCAAGATGTTTTAGACTTGAACAATTGATTGGACATAATGACCCATAAAATTAAATTCCTTTACACTTTCGTAATTTTTTTGTATAATTATATATATGACCATCCGATTATAATAATTTAATGATCGAAACATGTAATGGCGACTGCATCTGTGACTATAGTTTTGTGGTACATTACACAGTATTCATTTGCTTTATGTATGCAAGGGCAGAAGTGGCTTTCCAGAAAAAAGTAGACGCTCTAGATGAGCAGAACTGCCGGCAAGTGACAAAAAGTCATTCAAAGGAAAGAATTACAAGACAGGCACGTGAGTTCACGCCTACATGTATTATTATCGGGAAAGGTAGTTATGAAATTTCAGGATACTGACATGGCTTCCTGAATTGAAGCATCTGGGAACTAAGCAGAAGGCGCTTTCTCTCAAGTTCTCACTTGTTTCCATCTCTGCCTGTAGTTGGATTAACAGAGAACTATACTCTTCATTCATTCATTCATTCATTCATTCATCTGTAATCTGTCAGACGACAGGTTCACAGTCTCTTCCAAAACAGTTCCTCCACT